GAGAGAAATATTCCTCACCAAATGAAGACTGAGTCTCAGGCAGCCATGCCTACCCTGTCAAATCTTATTACTAAGACATTTTACCTGTATTATAAAATTGGTTCTGTACGTTCTCTAACAAAGGGATTATTTTAAGGCTGTGAGCATTTGGGCAGGAATAAGAGCCTGGTGTTGAGAGCGACATCGGTAATGAGAGATTTTAAATCAGGATACGTTATTAATCAACTGCACGGGAGACACAAACCTGCTTTATTGGGCAAACTGTAAATGAGCCTATTTGGTAAGAACATGCAAAATGTGTGTGTGCTGAGAGAGGATATTTTGAGAATTTATCTAATTTCTGAATAATAAAGGTATCCAGTCTGGCTGTAATTGGTGCCTGTGGCAATTGTTGATGCCCTGACTACATTAGCTTTCTGTGCCCTCTAGCACAATTGCAAAAACATTTCTAGTACTCGTTAAGCTGTCTATTATCAAGACTTCATAAATATACACGTTTAGAATAGATGATTTGCTATCCCAGTGCCTTAGAGCACTTAAATAAATTAGTTCCTACTATTTCAGGCATTAATTTTGCAGTAATTATGCATGAAGCAATAATGCAATTAAAATTGCATTCCAACTTGCTCGAGTGGGAATGTTTTTTGAAAATAATACTTGATCTTTTCTCAAAATATACTCTAGAGCAGGTGGATGGGCTGGGTGGCTCAAAACAGCAGTGCAGGACTGTTCTACCTTGAGATCTTTGGCATGCCTGCAGCTGAAGTCAATATTAACCAAGTATTACCATCTGTTGGCTTTTGCTGACCTCTGATTTATTCCCCTCTCCTCTTTCTCTAGTGGCAAAGTGCCCACATCACAGCTGGCATCAAGTGCCTCAGCAGTGGGGTTTCTTATTTAAAGAGTGCAGCCACACTTCAAGGCAGGAACCATGGGCTAGTTTTCAGTTTGCAACATGTTCCAGTTTCTTTTTGCACAGTACCTACTGGTTTCACATATTTGCAATATCTGCTGTAATAAAGCACAGCAATATATTGACCCAGATTTCAGCCTTAGGTCTGAATCTCTTTACTTTTAAATTGGACCTCTTTTTCCTTGGGAGAAAAATATATATTTTGTAGCTGAGTTACAAATAAGCTTTTCCAGCTTTTTGGCAGCTAGGTAATAGTTAAAGTGAAAAGATTTCTTTTTTCCAGCCAGAAAAGAGGTTTAATAACTTTGGGTCCATTTGTTCATAGCAGTACTGGAGCTGAGCCTTGCAAACCCCTGGAGCTTGGCAAGCCAGGCAGACTTGGCAAGTTTTCCTACCAGCTTACCGAGTCTGAGTCAAGCATGGGTTGTTGCAACTTCAAATATATTTAGTACATTTTGTTAACAGGAGCATTGAAGTGGAGGGTTTTTTCCCTTCACTGACCTTAAAGTGTACCATACTCTCTTTACGAACAGCTGGTCCTTAAACCACGCATGACAGTTTATGGCTAGTGTTAAATTTAAAATATATATTTTATGCAGAGCATCTGATTTACCCTTGACACTAAGATATTGAGGAAGTATAAGACAGTATCCCACAGTCTTTCTGTCAACTGGCATTTGATAATGTGAATTTGTGGCAAAACCAAGCTTTTGCCTTCTGGAGCCTGTGGTGCACACAGACATACATAAGTGTTGGGAATGTTGATGCTTCTAATTTTCACCTGTATGGATCCTGCCAAAAGAAGAAGAGTTCAAATTGGACTTTGGAAATGGCAGAACACTGAACTTCCTAAATATCAGTTCTTCCCTAGCCAAGTTATATCAGCCTTGAAATAAGAGGAAAACTTCTCTATAGAAAATTTCTTTCAGTGTTGAAAGATGCTGCAGAAGACTAAAAATAGTGACGCTAGATATCTGTTTACCCCAGTCAGACACATCTATTCTCCTATGGTAATTGACTCATCTCAAGGTGGTTTTAGCAGGGTCTTTAATGAATTCTGCATCACAGTTGTGGTAAGGTAGTACCTTTCAAGTAGAAGGAGTTGGGCTGTTGAATGGGTATTTTTCACTTGTACTTTGACAGTCTGTCTGCTACTTTGTAAGGTGTCCTAACAGCTATGCTTTTCCCAAGTTTTATGTGATTCTATCACTATTACTAATGTTTTTGTTGGGAAATGTGAATCTAAGAATCTAAGATGTTAGATTTGCCTGGTTTAGGGCTTGTCTTCTAGCCATGGGCCAGCTACAGAAAGTCTGGCTGCTTTGTTTTCCCCTCTTGATGGAAAATCAGCAATGTCTGTTGCTGGAGGACTAGTTGTGGGAGGCTATGGTTTCAGAAAGCAATTGTTTCCTAAGGAGCATGAGCCAATGTTATAAAAGGCCTCATCATTTGCTACCAAACCTTTGAAGTTTGCTTTGCCCAGTGGGATCTAGAAAACTGAGCACAGTCTGAGGTTGCCGACTAAGCCAGACAGGCTTCTGATTTGTGAGCTATTTATGGTTTCTAGAATTGCTGCCCTCATTCATCGTTGCAGTTAATTGCAAGAAGCCTGGAGATGATAAATGCCTAGGTCATTATTGCTAAATATCTGGGAGTATGCTTTTTTAAAGCTCTGATTCTTCCTAGAAGAAACCCTCCAGCTCCTAACTTGACAGCCCCAAATTAATTGTGGTTTCTTTTTGGGACCTCAGGCTTTCTACCAAAGATCTTTCATATGTTTCATTTGAAGAGCTGATTTATACAACTGGCTGAAACACTGCAAGGGTGAGAGTGCACTGGTCAGTGTGCTACTTTGGGCCATGAATTGCATCCTTAGAGCAAGATTAAGAGAGTATCCGTTCAAGGTTTCAATACAGTAGAAGTGATGATAAAAAGTTGGGATGTAGAGTGTGTCTTCTGTCCTTTTTGTGGACAACGCTGATGAGGTGAATGCTTAAATGCTTATTTAATTTAATGTGTATTTGACAACGTGAAAGAAAGAGGCACTTTTTTTAGGAAACCTAAGAAATATTTTGCTAGTATATACTAGGCTGGTGCATTTCAACTAAGTGGTAATGGAGTGAAGCTGGTGGCCCTTAAGAAAGCTTACAAGGGCACTGTAAACTACAAACTGCAAGAAGGGCAGCAGGTATGGAGAAGTGCAAACTTCAGAATAATATATTGTGAAATAAATAGGAACTCCCTACTAGAAAGAGCGGATGAAGGTTTAAAAAATGGTAGGAAGTAAGTTAAAATAGCTGACCTACTGTGCAAGGCATAGCTATAAACAGATGAGTTGGGATCAGTGTAATTGCTTCTTACTTGAACGCTGAGAGTGCATTAGAACTGATGATTAATTTTAAACAAGAATGGCAATATAATAGCTGTAAGAACAGCTGTAGAGGGTCAGAATAAGACCTCAACTAACCCGGTCTCTGATTTGTGAACAGCGATAGTTCTCTGGCATACTCATCTGGTGTCCAGCTTTCCTTCTGTGATTTTTTTCTAATTGCCTTTTGCATCCACAGCATCATTTAGCAGGCATTTCTGTAGATCAGCCACGTATTGTGTGAAAACATTTCACTTTTTCCTTTTGTGTAGCCTGCTAATTTCATGTCTTGCAGCAGTGCCTATTTGAACAGCTATTTGTTATTCTTACCAGTCTTGTAAATATTTTAATCTTCAATTAAGTTGCCTCTGTCCCATGCTAAAGAGTCCTAGTCTGTTTAGATATTGCATCTATGAAAACAGTGGTAGGTCTTGATGCAGTCTCATTTTCTTCTCATCTTCTTTCCTAATTATTCTATATCCGCTTTGGGTGAGAGCAGAGAAAAGATCAGATGACGTACAGTTAAGTAAATGCTATCTAAGGTGTTTTCCTAGAACACTAGTACTGCACAAGTGAGCCAGAGAACAAACAATGCTGGTAGGAGAGTGCTGCCACGTGAACAACAGAATGGTGTCAGAAAAGATACCTGGCAGTAAGTGTCATGGGCTCTCAGGGAGTGAGAAGGGAATAAGCCTGGTTGTCACTTCACTGCTTTGTAATACTTAGTGCATCCAGTGCAATGTGAACTTGTGAACTAAATGTGTCACAGGATATGCTGCTATTATTCTTCCAGTTCCCAATTTACTTGCAAAAAGATAAATTTTTTTCCCCTTCTTATTATATTCTTTCCTAAGCTTCTTTCAATGCCCACTGACTGAGAAACTTTGTTCCAACCCAGTAAAGCAGTTTCTGCTTAAAAAAGGTGCTTAAGCAAGATTAGTAGGCTCAAGGAAGTTGGGTCCAAGGAAGCGCTCAGAAAAGTTTACCTATGCACTGAAGCTTACAACTGTTTCCTGGGATCGTGGCATTACAGAATCTGTTTAAAGGCAACTTGGAGTCCATATAGTCCAACCTCTTGTTTAATGTAGGGTGAACATTAAATGCAAACCAGATTGCTCAGGGCTTGCCCAGTTGGGCAAGTTTTGTAAACTTGTAAAAGGATAGAGACTTCCCAACCTGTTTATGCAATCTCTTCCAATTTTGATTGTTAAGTTGGTGGTTTAATAAATAATTATGTTTGCATCATTTAGACAATAAAATTGTCATATAATCATGATAATGTAATGAAAAGCAGATATCACTGCAATTCTGGGACTGTAAAAATAGGACACAAGCAGCGCATCCATCAAAACACATCTTGAAAATTCTAGTCTTTGCTGACCACGATGGAAATGAGATTGGTTTCTGGCTTCAAGCATGTTAATTTGCCAGTGTTAAGGATTTTGAAATAGTTTGAGGCCATCTATTTTTTTAGAGTAGTGATGCAAGTATAGCAAATTGCTCCATCACCTGAGTTTTATTTTAAACAAGGAGTACTCACTCAGTATTTAAAATGTAAGACTTGAGAGTAACTGCTTGGCGCTCCTGATAATTGTTTTTAGGGCATGACAAGCAGCTGTCTCCAGATGGTGGTCTGTATTCCACATCCTTCTCTACTGTAAATGGAAACATGTACTGCAGTAGTAATCTAAAGCTTTTTGTAACTTGTCTCTTTTTCAGCTTTGGTTTGCTTTTGTTAATGGATTTTCTGGGCAGATCTTATTTGAGCGATGGTGCATTGGTCTGTATAATGTGGTAAGTGCTACATGTTTTGACTTGGTAATGCTGGGGACTTGTCTATTATTTTGTTGTGTCCCATTTTTCACAGGTACCTGTCGTAGACATATATCAGGGAAGGTGAGTTCATTTGTGAAAATCATTTTCAATCCACTTTGAGGTAAGAAAAAAGTAATTTAAAATGATGCTTTTATCACAAAAATAAATTTGGGAGAATGCCTTGAAAATAGATGATTAGCCTAATGTAACCTGCATAAAACTCTGCAGATTTTTAGATAGAATTTAATTTCCTCTTTCAAAGCATCTTCAGTCTTTTCTACCGAATATTTTGCTGATGGTTCATGTTCAAAATGTCCTAATCTTTGAGTTTTGATTATTTTTTTTCTCTCAGACCCCATAAGAGTTAGATGTTCAGATAAGTATCATGCAGATGCTTTGGGTTGACTCTTGCTACATTAGGTACAGAAAGAGAAGTAGCATCACTGTGTAACCAGCATTTTTCACTTGAACCAAGGACAGAATGTGTCAGTCTGTGAGTGATTTCTGATTTTTGCCGTGGTCTGCAGAGTGCTACACTGTGTCTTGTGACTTTATTACTTTAATCAATAATATTATTTAAACAATCACATTAATTAAAGTCTGAAAGATCTCTGAAACCAAGTTCCATAGCATAGACCTGTGTTGGTGTTTGACAGCGTTACCTTTGTAATGTTACCGGTGAGTGGCCTGGTGCATGGATATATAAGTCATTAGAACGCTATCACTGTTGAAGAGTCCTTTGGATTTCTCTTAGCAGGGAGGAAATTTAATTTTTTTCTTTAAGAAAACTCATTCCAAATATATGCTAATACAGAAAAAGCCAGCAAATTATCACTGAGTAGTATTAATGGAAACACTTAACTTCTGTCACATTAATTTTAAAAATGATGACACAAACCCTCATATTCCATAAAATTTGATACTCCTAGTGGAAGATATTTATTCAAGGATTTATCATTCCCTTGATTCTCTTCACCCTAATTTCCTGACTGTTACTCAGTCTCTGTCATTTGTATTTAGATATTTGCATCTATTATCTTTAAACTTCATTTGATGAATTTACCTACCCTACTTAAAGCTTCTGGATGAAACTCATCTTCTGTAACCAGCAAAGTAGAAATTAAACCTTGTTTTGTGAGCTTAGTATTTTCTAAAATTAGAACTGGTTGTGTGGACTCATGAAGAATCAAGTGCTAGTAGGTTATTAGGGACTTCCACAGTTTGAAGGGGTTAGATTTTGAAGTGCTTTTAGATCTGTCATTCTATTCTGTGCAGATTAACCCTTTATTTCATTAGTAGTCTCATTAAAATATGAAGTGTCTAAAATCATAGTGGCATTATAATTCATGATTTTATACTGGTTCACATTGGAGGTTTGCCTTCATAAACAGAACCATTAGAAGATTTACTTCAAGTGAGAATGTAAATGCCCCAATAAGCATAAGAAACCTGGCGAAATACATTAAAGCTGTATGAGAACATGGCCTTCTTTGGAATATATTGGACCAGTGGTCTTTGTTTCAGTTCCTTACCCCCAGCCTGCTACCATTTTCACCATCTGGTTTATCACTTTATGAGCAAAAGACACACAATTCCCACTGGATCTAGGGTTGTAATTACCGATTCTCACTAGTCTCTCTTCCTCTGTGTTGTTCTTTGTCCCTGACTGCCAGCTCTCTCCTGGTGGGAACCACAGCCCAACTTCTGCAGATACGCATGCACACTCGAAACAGTTCATAACTGCAAGCTGCTTCTTAACCTCAAGAACATTTCTCAAATTGTTAAAAATATATGTATGTATAAGATGAGTACTGATGTTTCTGACATAAACTGTTAATGTACAAGGAATTGAATGGAGTTTAGTATTCAGACTTCCACAGTGGTGTTATTTTCAGTCTGTGCCTGCACTGCAGACTACAAGAAACATGGATACCCAAGCTGGCTTTAAATGAGCTGCCTCAGATCCTGGAAACACTTTAAGAGCAGCAATGTCAAAGTCAGTGGAGGCTAATTTACTCTGCTTCTGGCAAAGCATCCCGCTGCCTCTCTTGGAAAGCTTCCGAGGCTTGGTCATCTAAGAGTCTGCCCATAGCACAGCCAGACATATACTGCAGTTAATTTGTTCCTATCGTTTCATGCCTGCCAGGGGAATCCCCAAAGTACCATAATGCAGAATGGCCTTTGTTTTTCAGTAGATTTTTTTTTTAGATGTGATTTCCGCATTTGCTTTGTCTGTAAACTTAGCTCTGATTAAATATATTACATATTTAATTATAGCAACAACTGCAGCTGTATTGGAATCCATTCTCATGGCTATTTTGTAAAAATACTTGTCTTTCCTTTGCAGTCTGATGTGTTGGACCCTCGCTAGATTAGCTGCTACATCAGAAAATAATGATGCTTGACTTCTTGGGTTTGAGCTTATTGGTTAAATATACTAATTTTATTTCATGTTTCTTTTGTTCATAAGTCAATGTTTGAGAGCTATGAATTGCTGAAATTCATGTTTGGACTTGTTTGGACCACTTGAAATTGTCAAATAACATGTTAGGTAGTAGTAAGTCTTCACTGAAGTCTGGGAACTTTGTTGTTTTCTAGATAGTGAATTATTATCTGAGATCCACTTAAAACTGATAACTGCTTTTAATTAGTATTTGGTTTCCTTGCAGATTTTCACAGCGCTGCCACCCTTTACTCTGGGAATTTTTGAAAGATCATGTACTCAAGATAGCATGCTTAGATTTCCACAGCTATACAAAATTACTCAAAATGCAGATGGTTTCAACACAAGGGTAAGGGAAAGTCTGTTTCTTCAAGAACAACTATGGGCATTCTTATTTTCTAGATTTTTCTTGTTAAAAAATAACTTGTTTCCCACTGTTACTTCTACTTTTTGCTAGACACTAAGATTAAGATTGTTCTGCCTCCTAGTTCTTTTCAAGAACATTTTAATTTTGAAGAATTTTTAAATTAAATTTAAAAAAAATATTGTATTATAAATAAGGGGTTTCTGCTGTGGCTTCAACTGAAACCGGTCCTGAAATATCCATAAACTTTGATTCAAAGTAAGATTTCTATCAGAGTATGATTTTTCAATTCACAACTGCTGATAAGTCATGGGTTTACCACTTCCAAAGGAACTGGATAACATTACCTGGTTTTTATTTAATATACATGTTTTCATAACGCTCTCTGCTAGGGTGCTTTTTCACAGCCTTACTATACCTCCATTCCAATAGTTCTTTTGGAAAACAAAATTTGAATTGGTTTATTCAGTCTTCTGACTTTTGAAGAACGCTTTTTACTTGATTTTGCTATTTAAATGCTGGAAAATGCCAGCATTTGGTATTCCATCTTTATTTCAAAACAAACACGTCTAAATTTACTTCTGAATCAAGGAAGCTGTGCGTTTGATTTATCTGAAGGCAAAATTGTAGAGTACGTAAAGTTCTAGTTTGTACAGAGCTGCCGTTATCTTGAAGTTAAAAACTATGGGGCACCAAGTATTTATCCATTAAAAGAAAACTGAATCAATCTTTTAAAATCACTCTTTGAGGTAATTAAAGAAGGTTGACTCTGTCCGTCTGCTGTATTTTGATAAAGATCTTAAATTGCAAGTGTGCTTGCCTATTATCTTTTAAGTTGGTAGAATAAAGTGATCAAACTGGACCAGTGTTTTTCTTGTGAAAAACCAGAAATTATAGGAGGAAATAGATCCTGCAGAAGTTTAGGTATTTCACTTCAGGACAAACATTGTCTGATGCTAAACTACACAATGAAGTGTTTGTTAGGAGTTAAAGAGAGGTCAAGAGTTTTGGACTTTACTGATGGCTTGGTTTGTTTTCCCTCAGGTTTTCTGGGGTCACTGCATCAATGCCCTTATCCATTCCATCATTCTTTTCTGGTTTCCACTGAAAGTGCTGGAGCACGGTAAGGGCTTCTTTATTTCTTATGTCAGTAACTAATGTTCAGCGTTACAGAGCCAGTGTATTTGCAGAACAGGGGGTCTTAACAAGTCTCAAGAAAATAATGCTGACAGGCAGTTAGTAGTGTGTAGCTGCTGAACTTTGCCAGTTATCTAGTGGCTTTCAGAACTTATTCTAATTTAACATAGTTATTGTTCATGTAGTGACTTTAATATGTGAAAAATGAACCTGTTGCTTTGCAAAAAGTTTTACCCAAATACTGAATAATGTCTTATAAAATGCCTTTTTTTTTTTTTTTTTTGGTAGTGGGTTGATACCTCAACTTCTAGCTGCATAATGTTCTTACAGCAGCTGCCTGACAACCATTTGCTTTATATCTTGTTGGGCCTTTTCTATTCAATAACACAGTACTGTAAAAAGTAAGATGAAAGAGAGATTTCACTACTATTTAAGTCTTGTGGGGAAAAAAATGAATTGGCTGAAATGGAAGTAAACCAGATCAAGAGCCAGAGATATTAGGGAAATGAGATTTTATTGTACAAATTAGTGTTATTAAGTCTTGCTTTTAATGAAGGGTAATGCAACTACATGGTATTTCAGGGACCAGTAAATCCCATATGGTTCCTACCTAACAATATAGTTGTTTGGGAGGGAAGAACTGGGGGAAATCTGTGCTTTTACTGTAGTAAGAAGTAGGACTAGATCAGATGAGGAATTTAGGGGTGATGATGAAGGGAATAGTATTTATCTAAAATAACAAACAATTTTTTCAAAGTGAAACTCTTTCCTGGAAAACACTGATTTCAAGAAAAGCTTCTCAGCTTCAGGACGGATTAATTGGGTAGGAGTTGAAAGAAATGGAAAGGGAGGGAAGATGAATGCTCACATCAGAGGCATGATGGTAAAGATACTTGTGGGAGTCAGGTTCATGTTTCTCTATCTCGCTGAGTAAAATGTCAGTATCATATCCTCAGTGGGAGCTTCACATGCTGTCTGATGGATCCTATAAAGAAGGGACTTCCCTTTCCTCCGTATGTGGGCTGGGAGAAGGTTGAGTTTTGTGGGAGAGGGGTTTTTATGGTTGAATGGTTTTTGTTTTGATTTGAGGTGTTTTATTGTTCTCTTTCACTGTTTTTATGAGAAATGTTAATCTTGAATAGCTCCTCTTAAAATCCAACTTCAGAAATTTTAGGTTGATGTCTGTAGTGGTAACAGCTAAAGAAAATTACAGGTTTTGTTTTATTCTTCTGTAGATATTTTCTGATTCCTAAATAGATAATGTACTTTTCATTTCAACAATTAAAATTACAAGACTGAAATACCAGCTCAAAGACTGACTTTGAGTTACTTCGAATAGGTTGGTTAGCTTGCTTTCCAAAGAAGAATGAATATTGAATTTTCAAGTTTCTTTGCATTTCCAAGTGCAAAAGGGATTTCAGTGCCAGAGACAAAAATGTGCCATTCACACTGGCATGTTTTTAACCTGTCAGGTTCCTTAGAATATGAAGTATGTATAGTCCATGAATGAGCACTTGTATAGCTTCAGAAATGAATGTTCACTGAGTGTCTTGCTATTCTCATTAAAAGAAATACCATTCCTTTCAGGACCGCATAGCCTCCTAAAGTGAAAGGTCATGCAAATCACGGGGAGGGGGTGGGGGGGGGGCGGGGAAGATGTTAACTTACTGCATTAAAATGTAACTTTAAAAAAGTTGAGACTTAGAGCAAAATTTATTCAGTTACTTAAATGTGCACTGTGATGTTACACTAGAGCACAGCCAAGTCATTATGTCAGGTTATTCTATCAAAATTGATACATATTTGGGCATGCCTTTTTCTTAATAAACTGAGACTTTTGGCATCAATAGGGTTCAACAGGCATGGAGGACTGAATTCTGTAGTGCTCTTCACCTTTTCCATTGACACCAGAGGAAAGAGCAAAATGACAATTTTTAAAACTTGATGTATACTTGTGAATGATGTGGGAAATGCCTGACACCACACCATGTACTGCGGGAGGAGCTGGGCTGATAGAGGTGCCAGTGGCTAGAAACCAAACCAGTTCCTAACCGAGCTGTCTCAGGCTTTACTCGTGTTGCAATATTTGTGACTGGTCTATCTGCTGCTGTTTCTTAGTAGTTAACATTCAAAAGAGAAAAGCAAGCAGGGATACAGAACTAGCGATTTCTGGAAAATGCTCACAGCCTGTCAATTCTTTGGAGACAGCCATGTGCAGCCATGGTAGAAGAAAAACAAAACAGGTAGCTTAACTACACATACTAAATATAGAGGATTTTTTACCTGTAAGCTGGGCAGAGTCTTCAGAGGTCAGGGTGTCTGAAACACTTCTTTATAGTCTTAAAAATTTACTGATCCTGGAGTACATGACTCTTGTTTAAGAATGTCAGATTCAGTTTTGCAAATAAAACTAACAAAATGGTACTGTCATAGTAGAAGCACACTGTGCTAGGCAGTATGTGTTTAGGAATAGGTCCAGGGTTTTATCTTAAGTGTTTTTCATCCCTGCTGTGCTTGTATTTCTCCAGCAGTTGTCTTAAAACCTGTGAAAATAGCAATACTTATCATGCTTGAGTAATGCTTGAAAACTCCTGTGAGTTCAAGTTCACTTGGCGTTAGTGTGGCAGTCAAGTGTGTTTTCATGGTGTTCCGGTTTTATTCCGCAAGGGCTAGGGAAGACGAAATGACATTTGAAGTATTGCCAAGGTTGGCACTTTCACATGAGAGATTAACGTGTATTTACCCATGTGCACACTTGACTAGAGAAAGGGTATGTGGAGGCTGAATACTGCTCTGTTACTGAATTAACCTCCAGTGAGATATTTTAGATGTTACATGTGTCCTTTTTAGATAAAAGTTTTCTTCTTAATTCAGCTCTCTTTCACCACAAATCAGTTGATGTTTTACTGGCTTTTTCGTCACAAACACACAAATAATGAGTTTTATTAGAGTGACAGTAAGTAGTACAGAACAAACAGTGACAGAAAAATTGACACTTACATACCTTAGCTCTTAGAGGCAAATTACATGTTATACTCTGGCAAACATTTCCCCTTTTTCTAGGCCAGCTTCTGGTAACCAGGGCTATGGATATATGCTCTATCTGAGCATCATGTATGAGGCCTGGCTTAGCACAGCTTCCGCATTACCATTTTCTCAGCTTCTAAAAGTGCTTTTATATGTTCAAAAAGGCAAGGTTAGGACCAGCTGTTTTCTCCTGAAAATCTCCATGTTATTTAATCCATTCTGTTGCTACACTAATGTCAAATGTGATAATTTTTATGTTTTTCTTTCAGATGCAGTATTCACAAATGGCCAGGGAATTGACTATTTATTTGTTGGAAACATAGTTTACACTGTAAGTTTGTGTATCCTGGCAATTTTTGAATGGTAGAATTCTTTAGAGTCTTTTTTATACCACCAGAAAACTGTGTAAACCTGAAGAAAGTGTGTGAGTAAAGTAATATCAAACTGATGCTGTGTGCCCGATTTTCCCTCTTCCTTTTTAATTTTTTTCCCAGACATGCACCTACAATAGCTTATGCCCTGTCCTTCCCTAATCCCACACTGCCAAGTTCCTGGGTTGCTAGCTACCTAAATGGTAGTAGCTTTTGAGATGTGAAGGGAAGATTGGGCCATGAACACCTTTGAATTTGAGGGTGTTAGTAATCAAGTTGTCTTTTTTCTTTTTTTTTTTTTTTTCCCTTGCAGTATGTTGTAGTCACTGTTTGTCTGAAAGCTGGCTTGGAAACGACTGCATGGACTAGAGTAAGTACTTTCCAGTATCTTTTATTTTATTAGCCCACCTTCCTCCCTAATGAGTATTAATGCAGAAAAGAAGTACCAAAAGTCACTTGAGAATTCAGAGTTCTAATTGAATCTTTCATGTAAGGATAAACTGCTAAGCTCCCCAAGTACAGGATGTGAGAGAAATTAACTCATAGATCATGCGATATGTGTGATGAAAAAGGACAGCCTGACAGAAGTGGGAAGAGTACACTTGAACGTATTGTCAACATCTCTACTTAAAAATGAGAAAATTTTGCATGAAATCAACATACTACTGTAGTTGCTTAAGGAAATAGATCTGTAGCTCCTTTAAAATTAATGCAATGGAGAACAAAAGGTGTCTGCCCACAGATAAACAACTGGGCTTTGAAAACATCTTTGAACCAGGTAAAAAGAACTAGTGACTTCACATTGGTTGAGAGTTTTTGTTTGGAAACTTAGTGTAATAAGGATGTTAGTTAAATGCTGATGTTGATTCCCAGATATTTACTTGCAATGAGCGAGGGCTCTGTTACTGATAGGTGACAGAATTCAGCAGGGCAGTGGCCTCCAAAGAGTATGGGGGGATAGGGGAGGGCTTCTGTGTTGATAAACCTTCAACACCTTTTTCCCCTTCTTTCTCCCAGCCCCTCTGAAACACTCATTTTTTGATTCTGATCTAGTCCCTTCACACCAATAAGATACCACATTGGAATCTAGTTTTCATGATGTACAAAGAAACTCTGCTGTTTTGAGGACGCAATATATTCTCATTTTACCAGTTTCTTGGAGGGGCTTGACTTACATCTTGTACCCTCGTTGTTTTTGTTAGTTATAATGTTTTATTTCATTCCTCACAGAGAATTAAAATCAATGAGGTGATGTCTGTTCTGAATTTTAAAGATGAAATGGTATCTGTACGAGTTATTTAATTGTTGGGGAGATGCTAATATTTTCTGCCTCATTCTCTCATCTGAAAATAAAATCTCTTCTTTTTTTTGCTGTTGCTTATGGATCAGTTCTGTGTGGTGTTCCAATGTTTTAAAATGCAAAAATACTTGAATTAGTCCCTCATTCACTAGAAGAGGGTTTATCCAAGTCCGCATTGGAGGCGTTAGCCTGCTTAGATCCTGTTTTATTGTGATTTATTTGATGGTTCCTCCTCTTTCCTCTTCCCTTGGTAACTGGTCTTTTCAGTCACTGGGGGGTAATCATGATGCCCTCTTTTCTAAACTTTTGTTTTAAAAGATACCATAATGGTTAGTAGATCTCAGTGTTCCATAACACTGACATTTGATAGAGAAATTATTGTTATGCACAGAAAAGTGGTTGTGTTTAGAATCAACTTATCCTCTTGGAATCTGATGTTGGTTATAGTTATTGTTTCAGCTGTGAGTGAATCAACACACAGAGAATCTTTAGGTTACTTTAAGAGTATTAAATGTACAACCTTGAGTTAAGCCTCTTCTCCATCATCAAGTGGATTGTTTACAGGCAGTTTGTTCTTGAGAGTTAGAGGGACACTGCCACTTGGGAGAACACGATGGGTTCAGTGGAAAGCTTTAAATAAATAATGCAGAGTCAAAGTGTTTGAGAGCATGGTATATCCAGTAGGTAGTGTGGAAAGAAAGGTTTTGGAAAAGTGTTAACATGATGCGTAACAAAATCTGCACATTGAAGTTACGTGGAGCAGTTTCATGTTACACGGTATCTGGAATACCGCAGTAGGCTTTTTTCCAAACACTTACAGCTTTCTTCACTGCTTTATCACACTACATGAACTGTTTCAGATAAATAGGACACATGGCAGAGCCATATACTATGTCTGGTTTTAATGTGAGAGCCTTAATTTCTTTTTTCTGACTGTCATTCATTTAACTCATCTGATGGACTTGCTTCTGGTTTGCACATGAATTCTCCAGGGTTAAGTGGCAGAGATCAGTGGAGAATCAACAGTGAAAAGGTTGGTGGGGTGAGTGTATAAGGAACATCTTCAAACAGGGTGTGCTGGTTTAAAAGTTAACCAGCAGGGGAAATGAACTCAATTCAAAAGAGAGATTTATAGGTCAGAATAACAATTTATTAAAATAATACAATAAGTACAATTATACAGACAGACAATTGGTTTTAACCCACAAAACCCAAATGTATAACCCAGCACCCTGGGGTATGAACAAAAGTGGTGTACCTTGGCCCCCCCGAGTCCAAAGTAAAGGGAGAGGGGAAAAACCTGCTGGTGGGAGAGCTGCTGCAGTCTGGTCAAAAGTGTTGATTGCAGTCCAGTTGAGGGTGGTGGTCTGCAGTTTGGTTGAGAGCGGTGGTCTGCAGTCTTTCTCTGGATCCCACGAGTGGTGGAAAGGTTCCGAAACTCTCAGTTTATATATTCTCCAGTTCAGGTGGGAGTTCTCAGTCCTTCCCTCAGAGCGGGGAATTCCATAAAAGGGCATGAGGATGCTCAGTCCCTCCCTCAGAGAGGGGAATTCCATAAAAGGGTATCAGAGTGGGGAATTCCATAAAAGGGTATGAGGACAGGAACATAGGCCTCTACTGACAACAGTTTCTATGAAATGGCATGGAAGGCTATAGAATACACAGTTTTGGGTTGCACCCATCCAGTGATGAATTGGTCCCAGCCGTTCTAACCAGGACACAGGGCAAGGAGGGCTCTTCATCCATGCAGAAGCGCTTTTAAAGGTAGAGAAGAAATTTGGGTAGATATATGCATGAGATAAAGAGATGATTGGGACAACCATGAGAAGAAGGTAAAGACAACATAAAATGAACTAAGTCTGCTCAACTGCAAAGGGCGAGGTGAAGAGCTGCAAAACTCAAAAACTGTCCTGCCAGCAGATTGCAGAGAAAAACCGGAGTGAGACAAAATAATGATGGCATTTCATTAGCATAAATAGACCTCCTACAAAATAAGGCTCTGTCTTAGGTTGGTTTCTCTGCTTGATTTTATTTTTACTGTTTTTAATCATAAAATCTAGGAATCTGCAGCTTGGAAGCATCGGTCCAAGCTATCCTGAGCCTTCTGTCCACTTGTCTGAGAGGAAGGCTGTGGCTCGAGGATGTATCATGTCCTTTTTTGGAAAGCAGTGCTACCATTGCATGGGACTGACTTTATTCTTAAAGATGAGTTCTTGCAGAAGCCTTGCAGTACTTTAGCTTTGGGAAGCTGAGCACAACAGTTGTTCACTGGGGCAGGGCTTTTAGTCAGAATCTTGACGTGAATTGATGGTAGTTTTCAGAGTAGCAAGTAAACTGAAAGGATAAAATCCTTCTTCTCCTCCAAGTGTTTTTAAAAAAAATAAAACCAAAAATACTTCAGTCTCTTTGTTTTCTTCATATTAAAACTGAATCTGGCATGAGTGTAGGGGGTTTGTGGGTTTTTGTTTGTTTTATTGGGGGGGTTGGGTTGGGGTTTTTTTGGTTGATTGGTTTGTTTATTGCAGGCTTGTTTTTAATGAAGTAGTTGCTGGTCAGATCTCCTGGGTGAAACAGAATAAATAGCAAAATTTGAAAACAAATCTTCCTGCCCACTGTGTGTCTCCAGGAAGGGCCCAGCAACTTTTAGGGTTGAACAAAATTCCAGCTTTCTGGGCGTACCTAGAAGGGTGTTCTTTCCTCTGCTCCTGACATTTTGCTGTATGAATGCTTCTAGTGTAAGGTGACCTCTAGTGGGTCCCAACTATCTGCCAGTCTGTAGTGGTGCTGCAGGCTCCTTGCTTGTTTGTTTTCACTGCCTCTGCTGGAGAAAGCTGTCCTTTTCAAGGATGTTAAGTGGTTCTAGAGTAGGACCAATCTTCTCCTTCTTCCAGACGTTTGTATCTGTCTCACAGCAGGCAGAACACAGTACTCAGACACTTCTTTGGTTCTCAGATATACCGTTCAAAAAGTCAACAGACACAGTCATCAAGTAGAAAGTATAAAGCTGAGAACTGAACAAGCACGCTGTGTCCACCACAGCAACCAGTATGTGAATTCATTCCCATGTTCCTAAACTCATATGTAATTAGTAATTAAGATTTATGCAGGTATTTCTCTGAATTGCAGCCAAAGTCATCAGCCGCAGAAGTTGTTGGCATCCAAAAAAGCTGGAGCAAATAATGAGCTCAGTTGCTCGTTACAACTGAAATTACTGATTCCATCCACTGCAGTGTAAAAGTAAAACAAATCATCCTGAACAGAAAAACAGTTTGGGCGTGTAGAAAAAATTACTTTCTTTAATGCAACTGACATGAAATCTGTACTGGACGTGTTCTTGGTCACTTTAAAACTACTTTTATTTTCTCTTAGTGAGTCTACAGACTAAAGAACCAGTAAAGATGTAAGCTGTGTTGCATATCTGTAAATCACTTAGAACCTTTAAAACACCTTTAAAACAAAAAAAGCAAAGTTGATCCGTAGATGTTAATTGTGGTAGAGTATTACATAGCACTGCATCTTCCTCTATGAGAGGTGAGTGATGCATACAGCTTGCATGCGTACACTGCCATAAGGGATTTGTCCATGTGAATTTTGACCTGAGCATTTGAAAATTTCCACCTTGATTTATGTGAATCTGGCACGCAGGAACTAAATGAGAGAAATCAGAGTTCCAAGGAAAATCTGGTGGGGTTTTTGGAGCTCCAAATAAGATAGATTGGCTGAGAAGACTATCTGTCTGCCCTGCTGTGAGGCAGAGATTAAAGAGAGCTGCTTTATGATGTTTGAACAACCTGTGCCACTGGCCTGAAACCAAGAGCAGTAGACAGGCCTGAGTGAGACCGACAGAGACCTGAACAGGGAAACACTTGTAGGTTGGGTGAATGGAGGAAGTGCCCTGTGTTGACTCTCCTTTCCCTGTTGCTTGACAGTTCAGTCACCTGGCCGTCTGGGGAAGCATGCTGCTCTGGCTCGTGTTCTTCGGTGTCTACTCAGCCATCTGGCCCACGTTTCCCATTGCACCAGACATGCTGGGGCAGGTCAGTACGAACATTTGGCTGGGTGGGGAGCTGCCCAGCACAGCTCCCTGAACACTCACACCATGCTTGGAAAGGAATTGTGCTCTAATGAGAGTGCTTGTTCTTCTTTTTAACCTTTTCTTAATCCCTGCATTCATTTAGCTTAATCTCCTTGTTAGAAGAGCTCTCTTTGTCCTCAAAAATGACATCATACGTGATTATGTGCACTGGGGATAGTATATGACAATTCTCAATTCATGTCCATAGCAGTGAGACTGACTCTTTCATTAGTGCCTTCCTGGTAAGATTTTGTGTGTTTGACTAAATATCTTTTTTTTTTTTTTTATCATGGATTCTTTTCTTTTCCATATATTTTGCTTTCACAGTGTTCTGTTTTTCCTTCATTAATTTAAAATAAATTGAATTTTCTTGAAAATCGGATGAGGTGGTCAGAAGCGAAGGGGAGCTGCTATGTTACTGATCCTTTTATATTACTAGAGGAATTCTGGATTTGTTCCTTCCACATCAGCTGAATTCCACGTGGTGAAATTTTTCCATTGGTGTTATTATTTCAACTCGTGGTGAGAAAATCAAGTTGCAAGCCTGTCAAAGTCATTCAGGAGCCTCGTGCATATTTAAAATAGGGGGCTACCATGAACAATTAAGGACGTAATAAATGCATGTTACTCTGTAGAAGTGGAACTGCTTTCAAAATTACCAGCAAAATGTGTTTTGTAGTAAGTTTAGACTTTTCTTTAATGGAGAGATGCTGTTTATGATACAGAAAGAAGAAAAACAAACTAATAATTTTAACAAATTAGCTAAATATGCTTAGATTGCCACCCTTGTGTACTACAAAATAATGATACAAAAGTCAAGTGATGGCAAGTCACTTAAAGATTTTTGAGGTTACTCCTGTGAGTTTGTATTCAACAAGAGTAATCAGGCATGATTTTTTTGCTGGTTCTGGCTTAATACATATTTTATTATCATGTGCCAAAACACTGAGGGTAATGGAGGCTATTGTAGATTTTCAACAGCTTTTTCCAACAGAGACAGCTGACAGGCTGGGATCAGCAAGTAATTGACTGACAGACGAAGCCTCAGTCCTCTGATAATATTTCATGGTGATCTTTATGTGTTTCACAGCAGATACAGCACCGGTAGCTCTAATTCACATTTTCATATATTGGGCAAAAATTTGATGTCAGTATCATGCAGAACCATGAATGACTTGTCTTCCACAGTAGACTTTTAGTGCTTCCACTATCATGTCAGCCTTCTAAAATACAAATAATATGGTGAGCTGTTGCTTTATACAAGAAGGGTTAGGCTATCGATAGGCTTTAGCTTGGTGTTTCTTTTTTTTTTCCCCCAAAATAGCTCTCTTTTTTGTTACTGCACCTTAAGCAGAATTCATATTGTGTCGGTCATCAACATTTGCTCCAACGTATAAAACCACAGGTCTCAGAACAAAAGCTTCATGTTAATAAGGCTTTGTTTTTGCTTGAATGTTTTTAGAAAGTGTTTCTATTTAACCTTTGGGTTTATGGTCTGATTTTTCTGACACTGTGACTTGAGAAGTGATGCTAATATCTTACCAAGATGAAAATAATGTAATGCACTTTTTTAAAATGAAGAACACATTTACTTTGACTGATAAAGTGTCTGCTCCAGTACTTGTGGAGTTGTGCCCCTGGGTCAGTAATTATCAATCAAAAATGTTAAGAATAGGTCATCATTCTACAAAGATGCTTTTTGAATTCAAGCAGTCAGAAATAAGCTGTTGTACGGCTTTCAGTGTGTGTTGGGGGGGATCAATATCAGTTTTCTTGTATCTATATCTACCATCTTTCTTGTATTTTTGAGAGCAGGAGCAGCAGTGGAAGAATGTTGGGTTTTTGTTTCTTTTATCTTTTTGTAAAATCAGAGGAAGGTCCCAAGGTAAAGGGAGCTTGTTTACCACTTGCATTAACTCCCACAAAGTCTCTTGAGTAATCAGTTGCTGTCATGAAACCAGCTCATGGTGAAATGAGCTGGGATTGTGCTAGGCTCTAGTCTGTAAAATGAGTTATGTTGCTGCTTCCCAGACTTAAGCAGTTCCTTTACCTTTGCTATCTTCTTCATTTATAAGTAAGCAAGATATCTTAAAGGCTTTGATTTTGTTTTAAATCTTGCCAGTATGTTTATCTTCAAATAAAATGAACTCCAGGATACTTTAGATCCTCATAGTATGCAAATCCAATAGCACTCAAAGGGAGCTGATTTTAACTGTAATACTCATCTAGCATTTGGGCCAGCCGGGAGTTTGTGCTGTCAGTAGGAGGCATAGGAGATGCAAAACATTTTGTTCTGTCCATTCACCAAATGTCAGAGGAGAGCCTAAGCAGACTTTTAAGTATGTGAAAAGGTGCTTTTTTTTCTGCTGGGGTTTATTAAACTATTTGCCCTAAGTGTTTCTTTATCTTGCCCATAGCATCTTGAGCATTCTCACAGGGAAGATAATACCGTTTTCCCTCCTTGAGGGCAAAGGGAAGCAACTTACTTATTCTCCTTTGTCGAAGAGTCAATATATTTCTTCTGTTTCCCCTACGATATTCATAACGGAATACATGTGACATAATAAGACAAAACTCTGATTAAAATCTCAATAGTCCTTGATAGAGGTTTTTCAGTAGTATGACATCTGGTACTTTGGAAGTAAACTCTCTGGCTGTTTTGGGGGAACCTTTATAGAATGCAATTTTTCTTTAATAGTATAAGCAATAATAATAGAAGAGCAAGGAAGCCTTCTGGTATCTCTCTTGGCTTTCCTGAATATTTGCACTTTTTCAAGTGAAGTTCTTTTTATAGTTGCAGAGAACAGTGACACTGAGAAAAGTTGATGCCTTTTTTTATTGTCTTGCCTTTGAGGCTAAGATACTTTAATGGAACTCACTGCGTTTGAATGGGCACTTCCAGATGACAATATTTTGTAAAATATATGAATCCTTTCCCACCCTTCTGTAGTTATGACTTACCACCACAGATTGTTGAAAACAGGTACATGCCTGTGTTTTTAAAAAGCTACCTACTTTGATACTCATTAATTATAAGAGGTAGTACAGAAATGTACTGCTTTGAGGATGTGACTACCTTTTTAATGATTGTTTTCATGAACTTTTGGGGCTTTTAGCTCATAACCCAGTGGTATTTTGTTGACCAGCACATTAGCCATAGTTCTGCCCTCTTGCAATCTTGGGTACTGTGTTTGTTTGCCTAGGGATGGGGATTTGGTGTCCTGAAGGGAATAGCAAGCACTAACAATTGTGCTTATTTCTTGCATATGTCATACACATGGTGTGTGAGATATTCTGCTCATATTCTGTTGTGTGGATTTCTTCATAGGAATTGAAGCATACTTTAGGTTTATAGGAATAATATTGCACTGTTTAGGGTCAAAGTCTGTGTGTAGGTATTTCCACCCACACACATACCTAAATACCTGTACCTGAAAGTGTGTACAGGAAGGAGGATGTTATGACACTGATCATGCTTTGAGTCTTGATCTAGGCGTTGAGATAAGAAAAACAGATTTCTTCATTCCCTGCCTTGAGCTGAAATTTTTAGTGTTTTAAGGGAGAGTGGGGTTGGCAGGGAAGGGATGTTGCCGTCACCCCTCTGAAGCATCTGCTGTTGTTGATGATGAAAAGACTGCTTCTTAGATGTGATTTTTTTTTTACAGTTTATTTACCTTAATGTAAGTGTTGTGTTTTGTGTCTGCCTTATTAGTTGTTGTTACCATTAAGGAAATGTCTTTAGGAAGATGAGTATCAGTCTCATTCCCTCTCTGCCTAGAGGAACAAGGGTAAAAGAGTGGGAGTTTTAATCTGATTTTGAAAGGGTCGTTATTGTGGTTATTCTATAGTACAGGTTATTGTTCCTAATTTTTTTTGACATTTGCTTTAAGCTGTGTGTGGCCATATCAGAACTGGGGTTTAAGAATCTTTTTGCGTTTGAAACCTGTTATCTTGATCTCATCAAAACCTCATGGCTGGAGGTTTTGAAGTTGGAGCTGCTGCACTTCACAGTTACTTTTATACACCTGCAGTTGAGCGAAAACTCATCAAATCACAGTCCAAATAATTGTACCACCAGCACAGTGGAAACAGCTCTATGTAAGAGCCACTTTCATAACTGTAATGGCAGGTGTGCTTTTATTTGTTAGTGCTCTTCACATGCTAGGCAGAAGATATTTCTTGATTTTTCCAGCTGAACTGTCAAATTCTTGCTAGGTTATTTGTCTTCTTATAAAGACTTTTAAAGAAGCTGTGCATGAGCTTTACCTGGATTAAAGGTGATTTTTGAAAGATCCCGGTAATGGAGATCTCATGTAATGTGACAGTAGCAGGACTTGCTTGTATTAATGGTTTGTTAAGAAAACATTTATCCCTCCTTTAGCAAAGCTTCCCATTCCTCTGTGTATGGCATTAGCAAGGCAGGTTTGGCTTGACTGTTGTTGGCTTTTGAGGGACGGAGGTGATGTAGAAGATGGGATGGACTCTGGTTGCACGGTCAGTTTTGTAGTTGGCCTTGAGTCTGAAGCTCTCTGAAATCTTTCTAGTTGAGTTCTTACTAAAGCATATGAGAACTTCATGGGTTACTAGACTTGGAAACAACACAAAACAAACCCAAAAAATCCTGAAGGCGAGATAATCATTATTGCAGTGTAATAAACAGGTTTCACATTACTGCTCTTTCAAATCCACACTGCAAAACTGACAGCTTAATGTACATTTTCGTGTTTTCCAGAACATTTTTGTCTTTCTCTCTACATTTGAATCTTTTTCCAGAGATCTCAGTTGTTGTTCTTTCTGGCTTCTCATATTTCTGCAGTTTGGTGCTAGTTAGAAAATTGGCTGTTCTGATTGTGGTTTGTTTGTCTACAATTGGTTGCACATTACATTGTGGTGTCAATGTTTTGGTTGGTGAAAATGCTTCATCCAGCTGTTATGCGCAAATCAGACTTGGCCTGCAGACTG